CAAGTGAAAACCAAGACTTGCTTGCTTTGACTTGTGAGTCTACGTATGAAAGGCTTCGTGAATATTTTATGTAACATATGCAACATACTGATAGATTTCTATGATGAATTGTGTTACAAAATAAGTTATTCTCTGCGTGTATTAGAAATTGCAGTGCAGAAGGCAATTTAATTCGAAAAATTATTCAAATATATTGCATGCATGCAACAGTTGTAGAGGATCGTGACACGAAGGCCTTAAACAATTTGGCCAACAAAGCATTGATGTATACTTATACTTATATTTATATTATAATTTGTTCTACTTCAACAGGAAACCAATATGTACCATCACGTCGGGGAAAGAACACTGAGTTAACGTACCTTGGTATATGTAATTCAATCTGGCACGGCAACTTGTGCGCACGTCAGCCTTCGTCGTGGAAAGATAGTAGCACCATTCGTTTCCTTTCATGCTGGCGCGGCATGGTAAGTCTGTTGTGATCATTATATACCTGCCTGGAGATAAGATAGCATGAGAGATAGTTCTTGAAATATATGGACGTCTTTAAAAACTAATTGGAGTGATAAAACGTCTTCGCTTTTAAAAATTGTGTCAGTCCAAAGTTTACCAATATAACGAAAAATAAATAATTAAGGAAAAATAAACAACAAAACTGTTAACAATGAAAAAATTGAAAAGCCCACGAAAGACATGAAAATAAATGAAGCTCATCTTTCAATTGAAATTTCGTTTTTTCCATTTATAAAAGTTTATAACTGATGTTTGCCACTCTCTTTCTGCTGCATAGCTTATATCTTTGTTTGCATGACAGTAGGCATTATATCTCTGTTTGCATGACAAGTTGTGGGCACAGATGGGATGTTTACACCCGTTTTCAAAATTACGCGACCTCCCTGAAAAATACTCTTACTTCAAATGTCAGTTTTATGTCACAAGAACTGCTAAAAATAGCAAACGTAAACAAACTGTCAAAAGACATTTTAAACCGTATTTAATACCAAAACTGGACAAAATGGGTCAGATACAAACTAAAGCACA